AAAGTTCAATATTGCTTAGACACTTAATAAATAATTCTTGTCTTTCCATTGAAAATCAGTTGTATAAAAATCAGTTTTTAATTCAATTATACATTTAAAACAGTCATCACTTGACTAATCTGGCAGCTATGCAAATACAGATTTCTAGCATCCATCTGGCCAGGTCCCAAACTAGGTGTGGACACAGACTAAACTGTGCTCTTGAGGCCAACAGCATCTCAAGGCCTCCATTTTCTTGCACATAGAACAATGACGGTAGCAGTTCCTCCAGAGGAGTTTGAGGACTGAGAGAGCTAGTCCTGTAAACAGCAGAACAATGTCCAGACCAGGGAATACCAGCTGTGGCTACTAAGCCAGGGCCTCTTCATGCACTACAGATGCCTAAAAGGCCAAAATTACAGATGTTACCAAGCCTGATGAGAAGTTTGGCTTTGCTTTATCAATCCTTTGTCCTATATTTAATCCCAAATCACTCCAGAATTAAAAAGATACTTCAAAACCAAGAAAATAACTTCACTGTTCCAAACAAGCTGGAGTTACCATCTGTACCATGGTTTGGACCTTAAATGATTCTCAAAATCTCTGTGTCAAAGCCTTGGTCCCCAGGCAATGGCATTATGGAGAAGAGGGTAAAGTTTAGGGGGTAGGACCCTGTTGATAGAAACATGTCTCTGGGTATGTCTTCTTAAGAGCCTATCGGAAATTCTCAAAGAACTAGTAAATTCATCTGACCTGGGTCTCAATCCCAGGCGCCACCATTTTCCAACTGTGTGGTACTTACTGCTCTGTCTTGGTCTCACCCTTCCGAAAAGCACATAATTAAAGTGTCTCCTCACTGGGTTGAAGAGAAGACAGAGTACTGGGCCCAGGCCCTGGAACCACAGCACACGTTCACTATGCAGACGGTAACAATGATCGTGTGTAGTCACTAACAGCACAGTCTCAGAGGAACACCATCAAAGTGCGCTACGGCTGACATGTGTAAGTGGGTCTGTGTGGTGCCACATACCTGTTTCCCACTCAGCTGGTAGAAGGAAAGTTTCTGTCCCCAGTCAGCTACAGCCAGGATGTCATTGTGTTCCTCTCTAATCAACAGAAGACAAAAGGGTTATGAGGGGGCACAGCCTGCTGATGAGTGTGGCTAGGGGCTTAACAAACAACAGGAAAAAGAAAGCCCTGGCCAGGCTGTCAGGGAGCCAAGTGCTACACAGCCGTCCGGGCCAGCGTTACAATCAGACCAAGCATCAATCAGTCCCGAGACTAAAGCAGAGACAGGGTTGGCCCTCCTGGGATCTACTATTTAACTGACTCCGAGCCATGAACAGCCTGGGCTAGGACATGGCTACAGCAGCAGAAGGTAAAGTCCTCATTTCAGAGTTCCTGGGAGCAACTTGAAGGATGAGCATGGCTGCACATCCATGTGTACCCTTCTCATGTGTAAAATGTAGGGAGTAGCCCGGAGACACAGCTTACAGTGAGGAGGCTAGACTGTTCTAGTTGATGAGAAATTGCTCAGTCTTCCTGAAGAGGAAGAACAGCACCCACACCCGAGGTCTCTTGCAGTTAGGGTTCTCGAAGAGGTGAAATGGCATCTGAGTGAAGATGAGCAACTTTTCCAAGACTTTGAAGACCGACAACTGCCAACGGAACAGAGGCCTGTAGACATGTGCCTTGGACGGGACTTCAGGGCCAGAACCCAGGAGAAAGGCCTCCACTGAGATGGGATGCCAACTCCTCAGAATGTAGACAGAGAGAGGCTTCCCAGCATCAAGGCTGGACCATAAACCTCTCCAGGTGGCTGAGTCTTTATTAACACCTCCTGCGTCCCTGAGTCCAGGGTCTGCCTGTCACCGAGCAGCACCACTAGCCACAGCATAAGCATGCTCTATGCGGCATGGTCTGGAAAAGCCAGCCAGGGGGGCAGTGAGGAGAACGCCATAGACACTAATTCAGAACTAAGAACAAGGGGGAAGTAGAAAAGATGCTGGCAGTCGGCCTGCAGATGGACGGTGATGACTGACGCTGGAGTCCGAACCCCAGCCACCAGTGAAGGCCCAGTGGAGAGGCCCCGTTGGTGCTGAGTTAGACTCAGCCACTAGACACTAGACCAGGAGTTTCCAAGCCAACCACCCAGAGTGGTGGGCAGTGGGGCTCTACCAAAACACTCACGGTGAATAATAAAAAAGGGCTGAAACTCCTTTCTTGTCCCCACTCCCCACCCCACAAACCGGGATTCCTCTAAGGAATCTCAGGTGTCAGGGTGGCAGTGAGGAGGGTTCCAGGCCGGGACATGATTGCCCAATCACAACATCCTGGCTGCCTCAGCTTTTCCCACTCTACTGGCAAGGATTTCCCTTACAGGTCATCTCAACTCAGAGAGGAGAGACTGTCCAGCAGCCAGGACTGTGGGTGTGGGTGTGGGGGGGGTGAAAGCTAAGGGCTTCCCCTGTCCATACATCCTAGCCAATGCAAGGTGAAATGGTGCGGGAATAGGCCAAGAAAACACATCCAGTAACAAGAAGCAGTGGGTGAATGGTGGTCCTACATGGGCCTTACAAATCAGGCTGCTCAGAGAATGCCTAGTTCTGCTGGAGAGGGCTCACTCAGAGGTTAAGAAGCAGGCATGGTTATGATAATCACACATGGAAGTCAGGGAGGACACACAGAGGTGCCGGGCCTCTTCAGAGATGGCGGTTCACAGAGGTGTATCCTCCTCTACACTGCCCAGTTTCTCCTCCTTTCTCAGAGGATTGCACTATCTGCCACCCACACATGCTTCTCGGGGGAGCTTCCCTTGTGAGTGTGGGGGCACACCAACAATCCCCCGGCCCCTGCTCTGCTGGCCTCGGCCAAGGAGCCTCTCCACGGCATCTGCTTCGGCAGCTCTGTGCAGGGGCCTGGGCCCTCCCGAGGAGGGTCCTCACTCTGGGACACACTCACGAGTTGCGGTCCCTGGGACTGTCGTCCTCTTCCTCTTGCTCTTCCTCCTCTGCCTCACTACCCTGACTACTGTACACTGTTGACTTCAGAATGGAAGGGATTTCCTGAAAATATCTGTTGACAATGACATCCTCAGCATCCTCGTTCTCTCTGCTCATCCAGATATTCTCCCATCGGCTGTAGACAGTAAGCGGATGTTCACAATCACATTGCCCAGGACTACACTAAAGCTATAATTTCAAAACCTGCCAAGGAGCCCCGGACCCTGCCCGGAAGAGGACAGCCACCAGGTACACTGGGCATCCTGTTTCTCATGAATTAAAAATGGTAGCCTGAAGCCACAAAGTCATCTGTGGCCACAAAATCAAACAGCAGGAACTCTGGGGTAAGCTAATGGCCTTTGAAGGCATTATATACACATGGAGGGCCTCCGCTGGACAGAGTTATTCAGGAAGAATTATAATAACCTGTTGTAAGAAATGCAACGGAATTAAACAGCCTCCTAAATCAAGCGGGCGCCCACCTGTAAAATAACATTGGGACGGTAAACAATTGAGTCCTTTAATTTACCCTCAGAGAACTCCGTGGGGATAGATTTAATAATATTAGAGGATTACACAAAGAGCCGAGAAAGCTTTTAGTCAACCCTCTAAGTCATAGGGACATAAAGTCAAGTGTATGTAAGGATGAGCAGGTAGGTGCCAACTGTCTGCTGATCTTTAGGCTTTAGGGATATTTGTAGGCTTAATTTTAACTTTTTGACACAGAAAATTAAAAAAAAAAGTACTCAAGAAAGCGCTGTTCTGCTAACAGTCCAACAGGTGGGTGCGTGCAGCCTCCAGGGCATGGAGGAGGAACCAAAGAAGCAGGGAAAGAAAAGCGGGGAGACCCCAGCCATCAGCTCGTGAAGCCCCATTCCTCCCTCTCCCTCAGCTGGCCTAGAGAGTTCATCTGCTTCGCTAAATCTCTGGGATCCGTTCCAAAACTCAATATAGGCTCTTTCAAAACTTCATTTATAAAAAACAGGTTCCAAAAGACCAGGCAAGTGGGGAGAGAGGACTTTAAACTACAAAGACGTCAGGCAGAGAAAAAGAGCTCAGAGGGCTGAAAAAGCTCTTCTCTGACAGTGCCAGCCAGGAGAAAGACAGCCATGGGTACCTTGAAGGGTTCCAGCAGATGGACCATATCGGGGAGAGGGAGCCCCCTGGCCGCTCAATCTTCACTTTCTCTTCGCCATTTTTGTTCCGTATGCTGATGACCCCATTGGACATCCCCAGAGCCAGGTACTGCCCATCGTTTGTCCAGCTGCACACACAACCCATGAAGAGCATGAGAGAGGGAAAGGACACAGACGGGAAAGCAGGAGAGCTCAGTGGGAGGCGGCGGCGGCTGCTGCAGCCAGGCTAAGGTTCCATCATTCCTGCTCATTCCTGACAGAGAATTAGACACCAGCTTGGACTGTCACTTACAGCTGGACTCAGTGAGACCTGTAGGCAGGGGTGTCTATTTCAGAGGGCATCTATGCCCTGGCTCTCTGCCCACATCTCCATGACAGCTTGCCCTTGCAACTCCGGACCAACCCCCATTTTCTGCTTTGCATTTCACCCCCTCCCAATTCAGGGGCTCCCAGTAAACAAACACACTGTCTTGTGTCTTTTTAGCCCTAGAACAGGGCTTGACGCGTCACTTATGCTGACAAAAGCCGAATCCCAGCGCACCCCCGAAGCTGCAGAGATTTAGGGTGCCTGGGCCTAGTGCGCTGTGCTGCTGGCCCTCTTGTTTGTGCGCATGGCCAGCTGCTATCACCCGTGGCCCGTGAGGACCCCAGGCCAGCTCAGAGAGACTCAGCAACCTTCCCAAGGTCACAGGCCTCTCAGTCACAAGATCCAGACTCTGGTATGGGTCTAACACCTAAGTCAGAGGTTCCTGCCTGAGCTTCCTGGTGAAGAAGCCCACGCCAGCTCACCAAGCAAAGGTGGTCAACGGCACAAGTCATTCCCATCAAGGAGACAAACAGGAAAAGAAAAAAGGA